GCCAATTGTCATGAAACTCACAGGAGTGGTCATTCCTGCTAAAACGCAGGTTGAGTTCAAAAATCAGCTTAATCGGGCCATTATTTTAAAGAAATGCCGTTTTTTCACATTTCCTCAGATTCATTTCTTAGGCATGTTAACAGTTTCATTATTTAATTAATAAGATACGTAAAAGTGTTTGTTTGGCATTTCCTGCATCTTTACAACATTATTAGTTGATTATGTAAAAATGATGGTAAACTTGTTATCGTGTATTGTGTAATAAAGTTTCAAAAATGGAAATAAACTCATATCATTGCAGTTTGTCAGATTCAATCTAGTTATTTCCTGTTTTTTGTCTGTACATTTGACAGCTTTGCTGCCTTGTTTTTTCAATCTTCCTGATTGTAGTGTTTTGGTATCTGAAATTGTTTTGAGTAATTGAATTTTTGAGTTATTATCAATAGGAGGAAAAGAAGTGTAAAATTTGATATGTTTGATTATAACTATTGCTGCAGAGAAATTGTGATACAACTTTATGCTGACAAACTGACATGTAGTATGTTAAGTATGGTTTTTTCATATTGTAAAATTTTCTTTCAGTAAAAATAAGATTTTATTAATAATTTTTTTATTAAAACTAATTTTCTAGGAGAAAACTGTCACAGAGGGGCAGCACTGGGTGCCCTGCTTGGAGCTGCTACCACCCATCATGGTGTTGGAATTCCTGCTAAATTCAAAGCTGAACTGGGGACATCTAGGGAGAAGCTGAGAGAGCTGACATCAATGAAAAATGAGGGGATTCCCAAGCCATTTCAGGGGGTCTAAGTTGCAATAATTTCAGTTGCTCTCCACGTGAACTGTTCCGTATATAGAGAGCTGAAAAGTACAGGGATGTCCAGACTGCACAAAGGATATGGTATTATTCATATAATTATCTGAAAGGATGCTAGATTTTTTTCCCTCGGTTTGAATGTTATATTTATTGCAAAACACTAAGGACGGTATGGTCAGTATTTGTATTCATCGTCAGGATCTACTTTTTTGCTGCTTTTTGGGACTACCTCAATAGACATCTAATCACATCTTAGGGGCAGAGGACAAATTAGTGTCTTCTTTTATAATTATTCTAAATGCATACAACGATGAAATATGAGACAGAAGAAGCACAGTCACTGCCCAGGATTAATGGCATGAAAGTTTTAGCTATTATAATTATGGGGTTTTTTTTGGTGTTCTTAGAAAGGTGGGTATTATTTGCTCTCTTCTTGTTCGAGCGCCATCTGTGTTCCTTCTTTCGTGTGATTTTAGTTACCTCTGATCTCAAGTGATTGTTTAAATCCCTTTGGTCTCACGCGGTTTTCTATATTAATAGTTCAGGGTCAAATTTAAATTCAAATTCTAATTCCGTATCTGACATGTTTGTTGATGAAGTTTTTCGTGATCTTAATTTCATTTCATCACTGTCTAGTCTTCTACCTCTGCTTTGTCATGGTAAACTTTGTTGTAAAGATATTCAGTTCTACTGTCATACATTCTAAGGAGGATTATAGAGGTATGATGAAGGGGTGTAGTTAAATTTGTTTCTTATTGATATATACAAATTTAATTACTATTTTACTGATTTGCTTTTATTGTTGTTTTAGGGTACAATACTGACAACAGTTTTTTTTTTTCAATAAAGAATACTGAATCCCAAACTGCATCATTTTACCTTTCGACTGAACTCTTTAAAATGGAAGCATTATTCTAAATGAAGTCCATTGATAAGTGTAACTAAGTCAATTAAATTACTCAAAAGGGTAAAATATTTAAGAAATTTCTTTTTAGAGTTTGTTTTTTTATCAAGTTAAGATTTTTCATTTAGATATTGCACCGGAAAATCAATGGTTTTAGCAGAATAAAATCCGTTTTTCTCTTATTTTTTTATTTTATTATATTGTAAGATTTATTTTATTGTTTATGTTCCCCATCAATCTCATAGTGGCCTGACATATTTTTAATGTACCCGCCCCCCCCCACCCCCCACAAAGCACTGAATTTTGCAATCAATCTTCGTTTTTTCATAAGATAGGCGCGATTTAATGGCTAGCATGCCAAACAAACAGTAGTCACACAAATTTCCCGGGGAAAACCTTGACCACTGCTTAAATACTGGCCCTTTAAGGTATAGAAATCTGAATGAGTATAGTATGAAGCGTGAGAATAATATTTGGGTTTATTTCCATGGCCAATTGACAGGATTTAGAGCACCTCCTATGTAAAATAATATCAAAAGCAAGTCGATGTGCAACCATAAATACCCATAAAGTCTCCAATAATTTCTTTTTCATAATTTTCTTTTGCTGAAAACACTAACTGTGCACTTGCGCATGTTGATTATAGACACGAGACCAAAGAGAAAACTAGAACCAAACCATAGATTTGTACATGAGTCATTTATCATGATAAATATTTATAACAGCTTTGTTGTCGGTACCTTTTTTATAGATATATAGATACTTTATTTACTTTGAATTTTGCGCTGAAGCACAAGAACTAAAGAAAAGCATTTTTCTTTTTCACAGTGTCACATATCGATGGTAATTCACTATTTTCTTAAGTCATTTACTTTCCTCCGGTGAAATGGTCGACGACGGTGCCGGCGGCGTCTTTCCCAGTGTTGATCATACCGTGGATTGTGTGGTTCATGTTGTGGAAAGTTTGACCTGTCGAAAAAATGAGAAAGACATAATTTTAATGATAAAACATAAATATCGCTGCCACAATACCAAACTAGATCTGTCGTTGTTGATTATTTCGTGAACTGCATATGCAATGTTTTGGAAATTCTGGCAAATAACCGAGATAAAATTTATACCAACAGCTCGGTGATATAAGCGAACAGATGAAACGAATTTCAGGTAATCGTTATACAGCAAGCACGTCTTTTCTGCATCAGCAAAATCACTGCCTTACGTAACTTATCCTGTGAAAAGAGCGCCCATCTAACAGCCGTGAACGTTTCAGAAGAGCAGTGGTCTTTTTTCGTTTCATAAAGGTTAAACTATTTCTTGAAAAAAAGATGTACATGTACATCCATCGGCACAACCAGGGAATTATATCGGATATAATTCCCTGGCTCAACTAAGTATACAAGATATCATTTAAGCTTCATAGTAGCGATCCCCTTATCCATGGCCAGAATGCAACCTACAACTGAACAGACGCGGCGTTGTCACATTGAAATATCGGAATAAAAAACATACCAAGGATCTCAGTGGCAGCAGCCTTAAGGGCGGTCAGGGCGTCTGTGCCGTGTTGAACCAAGAGATTGCCCTTGTCCTTCAAGTCCTGCACGTGACCGGACAGCTTGTCACTCAGGGTGTTCACGTGACCACTGACGGCGTTCCACAAGTTGCTGGCGTGGCCCTTCAGGGTCTGGTGGAGGGTCTTGGCGGCCTGGAAAGTGCGGCGGAAATTAGCTACATGTTGTTTTAGAAGAATTTGGACGTCTGGTACATTCACATTCCTATGGCATTTGCCTTCTTTTACTGATGTTTAGAAAAAATGTAATTATACCGCATTGTCTCAATGTGGTGCCCACGCAACTCATGGTTTTATTTATTTATTTATTTATTTATTTATTTATTGCCTTTTGCAAATGTTTTCAGGGTTTCAGTTCTGTTGGCATGGCTTTCGTCTAATATTTTCGAGTTAGTAAACAGGCACACACAAACACACACAGTGACACACAAACAGATAGAGAGAGAGAACAAGAGGACCGTAAACTCACGCTGACGACAGTGTCCACGTGTGGTTTAAAAGCTTCAGCAATTGCACTTCCGGCAGAGGCGGTGGCATTCTTGATGCCTTCCCACAAGTCCTTGATGAAGCGTCTGCTCCTGATACCAGACAGCACCTTCTGGGCTTCGTTCTTCAGGTACTTCTCAACAAGACCCTGGAACACGCCGCTGAGGCCGGTGCTCATCTCGCTCAGCTTCCCCTGGACTTTCTGTTCAAAGTCCTCTGAAAACGCATTTTGAAATGTGTAGGGACTGGCGTATTACATTACTACTAATTATATACTTCAGATCATTTCCTATTTTTTGACTCAGTCTACCAG